ATAGCCACTGGGAGGCAGTGCATACCAAATATTTTGCTGCTACATTAATTGTGATCCTGAATTCAGTCTCTTGGCAATATTTTCTCGTGACTGTCATGTTGTTCACTCTCTACTTTTGGTTATGTTTCAGCTGGCTGATTGCTATTCTATCACAGCTGAATCCGTTGTTTGGACCAGTACTGAGCAACGATACCATCTGGTACCTCAACTATCACTGGCAGTAGGGTACAATCGTTTCTTTACAATGCAGGTTAGCAGATCAGCCTTTTTACATAATAAGCAAAGTGCACAAACATCTTTCATTTTGTGAATGAATTAAATGTTTTGCTATTCACTTCTTTGCAGATGCCGGAAACTTGTACATTGCCAAAACCACCGGGAAACTATTTAATTGAAGCTTTACATGCTGTTCTCTCAAAGAATGACTACCATGACAGTTTTTGTGTTTTTTTTTATTTTTATTAATTTGATCTCAAGTTCAAGGAAATAATATGTAATTACATTTTTAAGTTTTTGTCTTTGTGTGTATATGTACATCACCTGTGTGTACAGTGTCTGTGTATAGTTTGAGTTGAATGACCTGATTATTGTTGTACAAATTAACCCGTCCCATTCATATATGTAAGATTTTGAATGTCAAATAAAATTAAGAATGAGAATGATTTGTAATTTATTGAAGATTTGCATTGTCCCGTTTTTAAAATCATGACTGAATTGGTACAACAGTTTTTAAAAAGTTTGCAGACTTAAAATCACACAAAGTTATAGGCCATCTAAGATGATTTTCAACTCATCGAGTTTGTCAGTGTATCTTTGGGGATTCTGGGCCGTGACATTGTGCATTCGCATTCCTCTCGGTGAGAAAGCCCATCGGAGGAGACGTCGTTGTGGTTTTGCTCTTTGGCTTGGCACACAGGACAGCAGGCCATCAGGCCACACTCTCTGCAGGTGGTGCACGACAGAACCAGCTGGCAGCAGAAGTCTGTGGAGCACAGCTGATATTGATCCCACGGGCAACTACAGTATCTGCACTCTGGGGAAAGGAGAAGTAAATGTTAAGTTTGTCACTCCATACAATCATTTTTGAAAAACTTGCATGAATACACACCTGAAATTACATCCTTGTTGAATGAGATGGCATAACGTTCATCAAACACAAAGAGTTTACCACGGTAGAAGCCATCGGGGAACTGCTCCAAGTATTTGTGAATGCCTCCTTTCAGCTGGTACACCTCCTTGCATACATTCTGAAGAATAATATTCACATTTGAGAATGGCATTACAAAGATATGTAATTTTTTTCCATTCAGACTTACTTTTGACCCGAGATAAGCCGAGCCTCGCTCACAGCGGATGCCTCCTGTGCAGTACATCAGAACCTTTTTGTCCCGGAAGAGATCCAAATTTTTATCCACGTAGTCTGGGAAGTAGCTGAATTTCCGGATGTCGGGGGCCAAACATTGATTGAACTGACCCTGAGAACATACTGAACTATTGGCTGTAATGTACATACAGTTCTGGCATCACTGACTTTCAAACTACTTACAATTTTGCTCTCATAGAAGTTTCTGCAGTCCAGAAGTATTGTATCTTTGTCCGAGGACTGATTCTCCACAAACGCCTTCACTTCTTTGTGAAATTCCTCTGGTTCCAAGTGTATTCCTTTTTGAAGTACACCATTTGCATGAATACGATAGATTAATATACACAACCACTAAACAGTTTGGGGTCAGTAAGAAAGAGGTCTCTCATGCTGACCAAAACTGAGCACCATTTTTGATTAATAGAAAGTTCAAAAGAACAGCGTTTGAAATCTACAATAGACATTATAAATGTATTTACTGTCACTTTTGATCAATTTCATGCATCTTTACTAAATGAAAGTATTAATTAATCAAAAAACATCTAACCCCCAGCTTTTGAATATATTTAAAAAGGCACACTGAATAAACAATAGTACTATGTATCAAGCCAGTTGTAGGTGTTTCTCTTACCAGCCAATGTGTAGGAAATGATATCCGGATCTACACCCATAGGGACAATTTCTTTGTAAACACCAACCTTCAGATCAGAAAAGCACTCTGCACCTCCTTCACTTTTCTGAGAAAAAGTCAGTGAAGAGCAGAGGTGATTTTAGACACTATTTATGGGGGATTCAGACTCCATCTTTCATCTCAGCCCCCTAAACATCTTTTGTCTTTAACATCTCCCTTTACCTGAAGTGCCAAAAACTTTAAAGTTGGTTAAATTAAAGCTGCAGTCCATAACTTTTTTTGGTTAAAAATGATCCGAAATCAATATTTGAGCAAGTACATAACCAGCCAGTGTTCAAAACTATCGCCTTACTTTAGCCCGATTCACAACGGTTAGCTTATAATAATGTTTTCTAATTTGAGTGGTACGGGTAGGTTTTTGCTGGAGCCGCGCCGCCGCACAACCCACGCAAGCTAGATAATTCCGCACACAGCTGCAATTCCAGGTTTTCAAACAGAGATGGCGACAAAGAGGCAAAACTTACGGACTGCAGCTTTAAGTATTATTCTTTCTCTTTCCTGACAAACATATGCCATTTTAATTGTCGGTCACCCTCATACTCAGAGCAAGACACATTCCTCTAAACCAGTGGTTCTCAATTCCAGTCCACTGCTCTAAACCACATTATCTTAATCTCTAAGCACCACTAAGATGAGGTCTCTGGTTATTATGAGCATTGCTTGAATTCATTTTGTGCATCTTATCTGTTGTGTGGCTAACGGCTGTTACCATTCAAAGCTGCAAGCTTTACTGGACACAATTCAGTGGCTATAAAACAGTTCCAAAAAGTGTATGCTTAGTGTTTTTTCCATACTATTTCAACGGTCTGAATATTTAATTTGAGAAATGTCGAGGCGAAGGCACAGCGATGAGGGTGATGGTGAGTGGGTTAGCATGTTAGCATGCACGTTGATAGAGATGTGTTCATGTCATTTTCATATTGTGTGTTTGATTACTCTTATGATTGCAAATGAATGACTTTCTGACAATGTGGCAGTCGAAGGGTGCAGTAATTGACATATGTAAATAGTCTGTTTATTTGCATTAAGTGCATTTGCATTAAAAAAAGCCCCAAGTAAACAATTAAATGTTAACGTTACTTTTTGAGCAGATAGAAAGCTTCCAGATAAACAAAGCACTTTGAATTTGATTATAATAATTTAGGACAGAATGCAAGTCTCTTTAGGACATTATACTATTAGGACGATTGGTTTATTCATTTTATTAACGTTCATTTTAGATTTCTTTTTTTTTTTTTTTTGACAAAAGCAAGCACTTTTTAACTGCTTATACTTTGCACTATTTAATACTATTTCATTGCACTTTTTGGCACAGATATTTTACCTTGAAATCCTGTACTTGCATTATTTTGAAGGTTGGATGTGACAACATTGTCTTGATGTAAAGACTAGTGGCTGTTTTGGTGCCACCAACTGTACCATTGATACCTTCAGTAGCCACTCGTACCTGGGGAGGAACAACTTTTATCCAGTAAAATTGCCATAAAAGTCTTGAACAAATTTTATTAGTGACGTGTGGTTGCTTTTATTTACCTTGCCTGTTAGTTTAAGTTTTAAACAAAGCTCTTTCTGCCACTGACAAATGATCTGAGGATCATTTAACTGACAGTAGCAGTAATACAGCAGAACCTCACCTGGACCCCTAAAACAGAGAAACTCCATGCAAACTATCATTAGTCTTCATATAAGCAGAGCAGATGATATTAGAAACATGCAATGCACCTACTTGATAAGGTCATCCTCTGGGACATGGCTTGCATCAGGGATCCAGGATGATACATCTGTTGATTCTTCATTACTGGACTCTTCCTCACTGTGAGTCTGGTGATGAAGCATCACATCCAGCATCTCAGTGGTCAGCTGGTGAATCTCACTGGCATGGCTGTTGGCAACATGTTTGTGGACTGATGATGACTCTCTGAATGACTGTCCACAGCAGTGCCAAAGAGCTGGTGAGCTGTTTTCACAGGTTGGAGGAACTTTCTTGGATGCCACAAATTTCGCAAACGTCTAAACACCGTGGGAAAAGTACTGCTATTAAACACTACAATCATCATGATATCAATAAACTTGACTTTAAATGATCATCGTACTCACCCTTTTCTTGACATGAGAGTACAGTTTCCTTGCTGCTGAAAAGTCAGGTTTGTCTGCTTTATGGACCTCTGAACCAAGACTCTCAACATCCAAATCAACAAGCATACTTGCCATTATAATTGTGATATTGCTCTCCAATAATTGTTTAGGAGAGAAAACCAACTATTACCTATCACAGTTCACAGTCCAATAATTAAAAAACTAAACGCCATCCTAAAAACCATCATATAAAGAAGTTTAACCTATTTTCATGCAATTTATGTCGTTAATGCTTGACCGGTTTATTAAACACTACTGGCAGGTTAATAAAATAAAATTGAACACAAGAAAACTAAACGTGCATTCACGGCTTGTGGACTCGGAGATAAAATGAGTCGCTTCTACCGGTGTCCGATTCGCGAACGAATCATTCTTTTGACTCGGATCTTTTCATTGAATCCGATTCTAAATGACTTTTTATCAGGTAAATTGTAGCTGCAACAAACTGAACTGGGACGGTTTGACTGACACACTTATTAAAACAGCAACTTTAAAGCGTGTTTTTTACTCTGAAATAATAATTAATATGATACACTTCCGTTCAATTGCAAACATTAAACGTACAAATATAAGCATAAGTAAACTACTTGCAAAACAATAAAAAAAGAGAAAAAATAACTACAAAAATAAAATAAACAAAATGTTCCTCAGCAAAACGGAGTTTTACAGCATAGCAGGGATCATTAGCCTAAATAGTGGCGTAAAAGAATCACTGAATTGTTTGAAAACGAACTTCTCGAGAGAACCGATTCTCGGTGATGAATCAGACTTCTCACCCCGTGTCGCAACAATACACGTGTTTCCGTTGACGCAGCTGTTAACCCGGATGTGTTGCCCTTAAATCAACCGCTTTTATTTTTCTAGTGTGGCTAACGGCTGTTACCATTCAAAGCTGCAAGCTTTACTGGACACAATTCAGTGGCTATAAAACAGTTCCAAAAAGTGTATGCTTAGTGTTTTTTCCATACTATTTCAACGGTCTGAATATTTAATTTGAGAAATGTCGAGGCGAAGGCACAGCGATGAGGGTGATGGTGAGTGGGTTAGCATGTTAGCATGCACGTTGATAGAGATGTGTTCATGTCATTTTCATATTGTGTGTTTGATTACTCTTATGATTGCAAATGAATGACTTTCTGACAATGTGGCAGTCGAAGGGTGCAGTAATTGACATATGTAAATAGTCTGTTTATTTGCATTAAGTGCATTTGCATTAAAAAAAGCCCCAAGTAAACAATTAAATGTTAACGTTACTTTTTGAGCAGATAGAAAGCTTCCAGATAAACAAAGCACTTTGAATTTGATTATAATAATTTAGGACAGAATGCAAGTCTCTTTAGGACATTATACTATTAGGACGATTGGTTTATTCATTTTATTAACGTTCATTTTAGATTTCTTTTTTTTTTTTTTTTGACAAAAGCAAGCACTTTTTAACTGCTTATACTTTGCACTATTTAATACTATTTCATTGCACTTTTTAAAACGGTCATATTACTTTTATTTAGCATAACAGTTATCTTTTATTCTACAACCTCATTGCAATAAGGCATTCTCAAAACTGCACTAAAGAACCCAGCTAATTGTGTTGTCATGCATGTTAGAAAGGACAAATTTATGCTTGATTTTAGTTACTTTAGTTATTTGTCTGTTTTTGTATTGTCAACATTGGCTGATCACACTGTCCACTTTGATTAAAAGAAATGTTCTACTCTGTGTCAGTTTGAAAATCTACATACAGCCTTGTTAGAGGATATTATATACATGGCCAATTTCAAAGTTAGCTAAAAGTTTACATTTAAGACTCATATTCTTGAGTTTTTCATTCCAGCCGGCTCCCAGCCTCACAAACGCAGGAGGACGTCTGAACCCATTGAGATTGAAGACCGCCTGGAGTCGCTGATATGTCGAGTGGGAGAGAAGGTATAGTCTTGCACAGCTTACTAATCATGCAGAAGTTCATTTTATTGTAGACATATTAACTGATTAATGCATATTCTTCCAGAGTACGTCCTCCTTAGAGAGCAATTTGGAGGGTCTTGCTGGTGTCCTGGAGGCGGATCTTCCTAATTATAAAGGCAAAATCCTGCGCATCTTATGTGCTGTGTAAGCGACCTGCACTTTAAATATGCAAATGTGCAATGCTTCAAAAGTGAATCTCAGTATGCAACGGATGTTGTATATAACACATTCTGTTTGTTTTGCACAGTGCAAGGCTTTTGCCGGAGAAGTTGACGGTGTACACAACACTAGTGGGACTTCTCAACGCTCGCAACTACAACTTTGGAGGAGAGTTTGTGGAGGCCATGATCCGACAACTTAAGGAGACACTAAAATCAAACCTTTACTCTGAGGCCGTTTACTTGGTTTGTGCTGTTTAGCATTTATAAAAAAAATAAAAAATGCATCACAACGATTTGATGGTTTAATTCATCATGTGCACTGCAGGTGCGCTTTCTCAGTGACCTGGTGAACTGTCATGTCATCGCGGCTCCATCCATGGTTGCTATGTTTGAGAACTTTGTCAGTGTTACGCAGGAAGAAGACATACCACAGGTGAACATGATCCTAAGCATCCCTAGCAGATCATATTCATAGATAATCGTGAGGCTGATACTCTCATTTGCATGAAAAGATGGCATGAAAGATGAAAGTTGCAACACATTATCTTTTGTAGCAACCGTTTTCACTCGCTGAACACTCTTGACTGAGCGCTTGAGAGTTTCGCTCTTCGTCAAGCAATCTGAACTATTTTTCAATTCATCTCAATGGATGCGCAGCATACCTGTATTTCAGAGATGGGCACAAATACATGAAAATTTATTTAAAATACAAATACAATATACTGTGTGGAAAAATGTATTTAAATACAAAATGCTGTGTGGAAAAATGCACACAAATTACATTTTTATTTTTTCAAAGGCTTTAAAATAGAAAATACAAAAAAGTATTTTGTATTTTAAATACATGTATCTGAAATACTGGCCATCCCTGAGGTATTTGACGTACCGTAAACTCTAGTGTGAAGGCGCACGACTCTGCGTCGCTTTGCTGTTAGCACTGTGTTTCTCACACATGCAAAGAGAGAGAGCGGGAGTACTGATATTACATATCCAATAGAAGTCCAATAAAATGCGTCCATCCATCATAAAAAATGCCCCACACGACTCCGGGGGGGGCGGTTAAAACAAAAAGCTGCTAGGGGCAATGGTCAAAGATGGCCCTCTAGCGCATATTTACATAGAATAGCTAATTAAAAAGCAGCGGAGCTTTGTAAACAGCTCAGAATAATCATGTCATCTTCATAAAACGATATGATTGCCAGAACAAATTTACCGGGATTTTTGAAAAGGTCCTGTTCACACATGATCTATTAATGGTAACTTACCGGTAATTTACCAGTAAATACTGTTTGTGTGAAAGGGGCTAAACTCTTCCTCGGTTTATGCCGTGAATTTGAATTGCTTAACGTTCATCTGGAAAAACAGTGTGCATTATCTCACTAGATTTAACGTAATAGTAACGCAAATCATTTATAAACCTTTGCCAACACAGGAGAATACATCAACCTATGTCTAAATATGCCATATATTGTAAATCGCGATTTCAAAATAAAAGTTTCTGCATGTGGCCAAATATTAAAATCAAATGGATTTAAACATCGTTTAATCACGCTGTAAAGTGAAACGTCACCAGGCCGTTGGCGCCCTCTGCACAATTCTGGAGTGTTAAAGCTAGAGAGGGAAGCCTGAGTCTGTTCACAGGATGGAGCATACTGATGAGAGAGCATCAAACACACTGTGACAGCCCAAAGCCAAGAGCGGCTTCCTAGAGAAGAAGCGCACACATGCTATCTCTCCCTCACACACACACACAGACACGCTCTTGCAGTTAGCTGCTAGCCGGCTCAGAGGCTTTATGTTGCCATTTCAAAGGGGTTTCAAGTTGTTGCATGTGCAAACGACGCACATGTCTGCGCAAGTGGCCGCCCTCGTAGTGGCCTTGCATTTTAAAATGCCCAGATCAAGGGTAGACTCTACCATATGTCTGCCACTGTAAATCTTTGCAAATGAATGTTGGGTAAATGTGAAAGGGAGACAGTGCCAGCTCTAATCCACTCTCTCCATGCGTGGATAATGAGATGAGGGACCGAGAGGCTGTACTCAAGTAGAAACCTACCCAGACTGTCACAGAGTCATTTCGTACGTCGCTGGTGGGAAATGCGCTCAATATGCTGCATGTCCCTATAAACATCCGGGGACTTGACGCTTCATAACCTGTTTACATTTTATTAAAACGAGTTCAGGTTAGTGGCATCCAGCAAGAATATTTATGAATTTATCATGTCGCACATGTTTAATCACAGGGAGATCGAAAAGGCATGACCGTAATGAAATGTTGTTGTATGAGGAGTAAACACATTTAGAGCTAGAAACTAAACTGAACTCAAAACCCCAGAACAAAGCGCCCGTTTATTATTTGTTTATTTATTAAATATTCTTGTATATTGTTCCACTTGCAAGCTAAATGCATGAACATGAAATATTCAGGGCTTAAAGTTCTCCAGCACCGTGCCGGATCTCTGGCGTGCAGCGTTTGGCTGCGGGAAAAAAATAGTCCTACATTAAAAAAAACAAAAAATCTTGTTGATATCACTTTCGAGTCCATGAGTTCGCCTACCAATGGTATGAGAGGAGCACAGCTTTCACTCTCAACTAAACTAACATTACTAGCCAATCAGAATGTTTTGCTCTTATAAACACGAGACGCGCATAATAGTATCCAATTGCGGAGTCGCAGCCCTGATAAATGGAGAAGCACGACAAAAAGCTGCTAGGGGCAATGGTCAAAGATGGCCCTCTAGCGCATATTTACATAGAATAGCTAATTAAAAAGCAGCGGAGCTTTGTAAACAGCTCAGAGTAATCATGTCATCTCCATAAAA